GAAACCTCTTGAGACTTTCCTTTTCACCCCTAAACAATGGTTTTGGGCATTTTTAGAGGTATTTTTTGGGTAGAAAATAAAACCGCGCGGTCCAAAATTACCCACACATATTTCCAAATTGAATCGTGTGGCAAGATGATCGCGAAGTCCAAAAGTTCAGTGAGCATACCGACCAGAGCAACAAGAAGTATAGAATTCCCTAGAAGGATCAGAACTAGGCCGAAGCTGCTGCATTGGAAGAATTGCCTTTATGTCATGCCTTCCACTCTTTTATACATATAACGATTGATTTCGGGGGAACGTAAAATTGATGGGTCTGACAAGAAGGCCGGATATTTATTGTAATCAAAAATTTTAAACTACAGCATGATTAATCACATCAGACTACAATCTTCGGAGCAACCAAAAGATGCTATTTTCACAATATCAAACCACGGCGTCTCTGTTTTTATATGACTAAATTTGAAAATCACTTTTGTGATGGATATCTTGGCCGCATGTTTAATCGACTCGCCCTTAGTTTTGCGGATGGATGACAGTGATCCTCTAGTTTAGATTTCCCCTCCATTACTCTTCGTTTTTTCGCTATCATTCCCTACCAAGCCTCGAGTGCTCAACTAGTGCTATATGTAAGTAAATAGTGTGCCGCAGCGTATATATTTCGTAATTGTCCCTTTTATAAAGACATTTATAGACATCAGTGAATAAATACACTTTCAAAAAGAGTACTTAGCAGCAAATTGCCATGCCTGTGGTTTGTGGTATTACCATCAACAATATGACCACATTTTGTTGTGAGTTTCATTACACTTTAGTGTGGTGTGCATATTTTTGCTTTTACTCTTCGATTTTTTTACTTTTATTTCTTTGCTTTTACTGATTTTACCTCCGACGTATTTTTGGTCTTCATATACCCTAGTTTTTTTTACTACTCGCTACTTGGTCTGCGCATATTAGTGGCAAATATGGATGAATGAATGCGTGGCGAATACAATAAAATATTTCAAATTAATTGCGTTTAATGTTTGGCGGATGCAAACAATTTTAACGCTGTTTGCGTGTAGGTTTTTGGGAAACGGAAATCGTCAATGAGGAATTCAGCTATATAAATTGAAGCGCCTTGCATTTACAGTGCATTGCGGCATAAATGTAAGCGTGTGGGCTGCCGGATATACTACTTTTTAAATATCTGTTTCTTATAAAAACAGGTGTACAACATTTTAATAGTTTTTAAGACATATCCTGGTTTTCAGAAGGCGATAAGGAGCCTTTTTCAAAGGTGTTGGCAGCTCATGGGCAATTATTATTTATTATTATTTATTTATTAATTAATATAATTAAAAATTACAAAATTAATATAATAGCACTAGCTACCATGGCTATCGGCTTAGTCAAGAGATAATATATGTAAACGTAATGTGTATTTATATTAGATGAAAGATGTTTAAAGATTTAAGAAAGTTAGACATTAATATGATATTTGATTCAGATGGGATGGAGAGGACATTGAGCGGGTGTGCGTCTTCGAACGTTGTTGTGCGTATAGCGGCAATACCTGAGCAATGCAGTAGAATGTGACGTGTGGTTAAGTTGGCAGTGTTGCAGAAGGAGCATGTGGGCTGAGGACTTCTTGTAAGAAGGTGTTCGTGTGTGAGGAGAGCATGTCCTAGTCTTAGGCGAACGTAACATCTATTCATCCATGTTGTTGTCGTAGTAGGTAGTGTTATTGACATGCCACTAGGATTCACCTCTTTATATTCATGTTGATACTGTTGCCAGTTCAGGTGTAGGTGAGACTTCAAAGCAGTAGAGTACATCGTTTTAATTGATGAAGTGCCAAACGGATTGTAGGTGTGTAGACAAGAATTTAAAGCAAACTTCGCAGCTTTGTCAGCATATTCGTTACCAGCTATACCTGCATGTCCAGGGACCCACATTAACTTTGTATTTGGTGCTAATTTAATGAGCAGTTGTTGAAGATGGTATATTGGTCCTATTTCATAGTGAATGTTTCTTGCAGCTTTGAAGACTGATTGGCTGTCAGTGCAAATAATGACTTTTTTTGTTCCCTTCTTTTATTAAACGCAGGGCCGAAATGATACCTTGTAATTCGGCTTCAAAAATGCCGGCGTACTGTGGTAGCAAGCCATGAGATAAAGTTAAACCGGTATCATTTGTAATAGCGAATGCAACTCCGTTGTTCTGTTTGGTCCCATCTGTAAAGATTAGATTCCACCCACTTTGCATAAGAGGCGTAACTATGTTCAAAAATGATTGTTGGTATGAAGCGTTGCTAGTGTTCTCCTTCCGAAGAAGCGTCAACTCATCAATGAAACTACTTTTGTCTATGATCCATGGAGGAAGTTTGGTGTTGGGGATTTTCATGGGGACCATCTCCAGGTTTAAGAGGTCAGCGAGAGCTTTTACCTCACATAGTGCTGATTTGTGTGAGAGTGCCCTTTTTTCTTCTCATCAATAGCTTGACTTCGTGGTTGAGAATGTGTGTAGAGTTGCAGAACAACTTATAAATGATACGACTTCGAAGGTATTTTATACGATCTTCCAATGATTGAAAGCCGCTTTCTGCTAGTAGATTTGTGATAGGTGTTGTTCTGAACGCACGTAAACTTCGTCGTATCGCTGCGTGAAACGGTGCTTTAATTTTATTTAACGTAGCCGTATTGCATTTTCCATATAACTGAATACCATAGTCAATTTTGCTTTGTATTATCGATTTAGTTATATTAAGTAAGGTGTTAGTATGTATACAACTTTTCTTCGATGATAAATATTTAATAATATTTAATCTGGTAGCTAGTTCACCTCTTAAACTAATACAATGATCCTTAAAACTATGTTTGTCGTCAAATATAACGCCCAATATTTTCATAGATTTGACATTGGATATTTTATGATTGTTGTACTTAATGTCTATCTGATTACAACTACGTCTTCTACAGACATGCAGATGCTTGCATTTTTCGAACGAAACGAGAGCACCTGAATGTTGAGACCATTCTTCTAAAGCCTGGAAAGCTTTTCCAAACGATTCCTCAATTTCGGAAATATTTTTATTACCACATACTAAAAATAAGTCATCGGCGTAAAGGCAATGCTTAATATTTGTCTGTTGACTCATGATTTTGCTAACGTCGTCAAACGCTATTAAGAAGAGAGTGACGGAAAGTGGAGATCCTTGTGGGATACCGTTGAGAAGCGAAAATGTAGGCGAGAGATAGCTGTTTACCTTACATCGAAACTTACGATTGCTGAGAAAAGACTTTATGTAATTAAAAATATTTTGACCCACTTTCCACTCGTGAAGTTTTTTAAGAACTATATGACAACCAATTTTGTCAAAAGCCTTGGCGAAATCAATAGCAAGGATAGAAGAGTGGTTTTTAGTAGAGAAGCTTTTTGAAAGTTGGTGGTCTAAGGAGAGTAAGGCATCCAGAGTGCTGGTGCCGTTTTTGAATCCAACCTGAAATGGCGATAAGAGCTTTTTGGTTGTTAGAAACCACATTAGCCTTTTTGAGATGACTTTTTCCATTAGTTTACTGATACACGGAATGAGGGAGATTGGGCGATAGCTTTCGACATCAGACGAGTCTTTCTGTGGCTTTAGTATAGGAACAATCACGGCTGTTTTGAAACTTTGAGGGATAATGCCGCTTTTTAGAATGGAGTTGTAGAGCTGGATGAGCCTCTGTTTTAATGAGACTGGCATATGGCGTAACATGCCGTAGTTTATTTGGTCAAAACCTGGAGTTGTACCTTTGGCTGTCTTTAGAGCATAGTCTATTTCGTTAAAGCAGATATCTCTTTCCATATGTACGGCTAGACTGTCGGTTGAGTTGGCTGCGGACATAAGCGGAATGTTACTAGCGGAAGCTATGAACTGCGGTGGAAAGTTGGAGGTTTCCGATGACTTAGAGATATTCTGAGCAAATTCTAATAAAATTGAATTGGGATCAGTAATTATTTTATTATTTATTTTAATTGAAGAAATATTTATTGGGGAGTACGTGCCCGTAAGTGTTTGTACTCCCTTCCATATACTGCGAATAGTGGAAGTGGGGTTTAATTTTTCAGTAAACTCTTCGAAGCTACGGGTTTTCGCTTGCTTTTTTACCCTGTTAAACTGAGCGTTGCGTTTTTTATAGAGTACGAAATTCTCAGGAGTGGGGCTCCTTTGATATTGTCTCCAGGCTGTTAGTTTGTCGTTTCGGAGTATACTAAGTTCTGACGACCACCACGGCACATGTCTTGAAGACCTACGACATGAACTGCGGGGGATGGCTATGTTGGCTGCTTCCCGAATAGTCTTTTGAATAATTGCAGCTTCTTTATTGGGGTTATTGTTTTCGAAAGCAGGTAAGTGTTTGGTCATTAAAAATTGATTAAATTTTTCCCAGTTTGCTTTGTCAGTGTTGTATTTAGATGCTTTATAGGGGTTGGAAACGTTAGGGATAAAAAAAAGAAAATGAACAAATAATGGGAAAGTGATCACTATTGTGTAGATCCTCAAGTGTATACCAAGCTGAAATGGGAAGTAATTGTGGTGAGCATAAAGTCAGGTCAACGTGTGTGTATGTGTTGTGTGTAGAAAAATGCGTTGGGCTATTATTATTTAGTAAGCACAAATTGGAACTCAGAATAAAATCTTCAACTATTGAACCCCTATGGTTAGTTTTTGGTGAGCCCCAGAGAGGACTCCAACCGTTGAAATCCCCGCATATAATTACTGGGGTATTAATAGAGGAGGTAAGCCGTAATAAATCAGAGGACGAGATATTTTGATTTGGAGGAATATAAATGGAAAGTATAGTAATGGGATGTCTAAATGTAAACTCGACGGCAACTGCTGATAAGTTGGTAGATAAATTGATTCGTCTATGTTGAAGATTTTTATGAATTAATAGACCACAACCTTGTTTGGAGTATGTAATACCCGGGAAGTTGTGAAAATGTGCTGTATATTGCTTGGGGCAGTGTGGTGTATAATTCGCAGTAATGTGGGTTTCTTGCACACATATTATGTTTGGCTTCCGATCTTTTATTAGAGTTTCTAATTCGAGATAGTTATTATGATAACCTCTAATATTCCATTGGAGAATATTGAGAATCATTTTTGTTTATTTATTTACTTGCTATAAGTGTTATTTTCTTTTGGAAAATAACCTATAGCGTGGGCTCTTGAAGATCATTATCCATATCGTCATTATGTGTACCAGAGATTGTGTTGAGAAGAGAGTGCAGAATGGAGTCAGGTTGCGTGGTGGATTCAAAGTTTGAGTTGTAGGATGTAAGAGATGTAGAGTAGTCATTAGAAGTATGAGTTGAGGAAGCGTTGTGTGTTAGAGATGTATTAATCTCATTGCTATTGTTTTTATTAGAGTCTAATGAGTGTTCAGGTGGTGAGTTTTGGGGATGCACTTGAGAAATAGAGCTCCAGTTTGCAGCCGGAGTTGTAGTGAGCTGTGTGAATGAGTTAGTTGGGAGAGATTGTTGTGTAGATTGTGTGTTGGCTGCTGCCGATGTATGAACGTGAGTGAGTGACTTAACTGAGTGTGAGTGAGCACTAGAAAGTGACTCGTTCGGTTGGTATGAGTGAGATTGGATAGAAGAGATGTGTGGTTTGGGGATACCTGTTGAGTTACCGACTGAAGAAGTGAGATCGGTCGGGTTTTGTGAGAGACTGTGTTGAGCGGCTTGTGTTGAGTTTAGAATTGATGCATATGTTTGATCTTGATTCACGTTAATGGGATTTTGAATTTTGTAAAGGCGTCTAGCTTCAGGGTAATTGCATTTATTTTGAGTTTTAATTTTTAGTACTTCCTTTTCTTGCAAGTACTTTGGGCAGTCTTTAGCAGAGGCAGGGTGGGGGCCATAACAGTTGGCACACATCGTTCGTAAACAAGGCAAGTCATTGTGAGGGGGGAAGTTGCATCTTTCACAGGTGGAGTTGTTGCTGCACCTTTTCATAGTATGACCCAACAGTTGGCATGAGCGACATCTCATAGGATTAGGAAAGTACTCTTCTACTCTCACTGAATACCATGCTATGTCGATCGACTGAGGTACTTTGTACAAATTAAATGAAAGCACGATTCTGCCTGTTGGAATTTTTACATTGTCAACAGTTTTGGTAAATTTGTATATAGCCACAACGCCTTGTGGTTTAAGAGCTTCTAGAATTTCTTGTTCGTCGGTGTGTGCCAGATTTTTGTCAAAAATTGTACCTTTGCAAGTATTTAGGGAATCGTGGAAGTTGGCAGAGATAGGGCATAGTCCTCCAAAGTTTTTGCATTTAATGAACTTTTCAGCTACTTTGAGGGATTTTGCAAGAATAAGTAAGCTGTCATCACGGAGAATACTCACTGACAGGTACTCTGTGCTTATACAATCAAGTGCCTTCTTTTTTGCGAAAACGCTAAAACTTGACAATGGCTTGGACGCGTCAGTGGATTTTATAATAATAAATTTCGGATCGGTGCTATTGTTGTTAGTGCTCACATCTGGAAGCGCTGGAAAATGTGCTTTCGCGGTCGCTTTTTTGCGTTTTGCTTTCGGGGAATTTAGCATACCTTCAGCAAGTATGCTATAACGATTCCCCGAGGGAATCGTTGACATATTTTCCATATGCACACAGAATAATTTGGTTAACACTTACGGGGGGATAAATTTATGATTTATATATTGAGATTGGGAAACGCTAAACACGTTTAAATTGCTCACTGAAACACAAACACGCTCAACTGTGGTACGCTAGCTAGACACAACTGCACGGCGCGAGAGTTAGTCGGTGACTGCATGGGCAATTAAATATTTAAAATATATTGCGTGAGAATAAAGGGAACTTAAAAAGCGAGTGACTTTTAGAATTTGCCGCGCAGCAACTTTTAATGTAATGCTGGTCCCTCAACTGACATCAATTAATAGACCACTGTAAAATTTTGACAAGCTCCGCCATTTAGCTGATTAAGCAACTTTTTGCGTGAAAATCCAGTACCGAGTCCAACGAAAGGCTTGTTAAATACAATAGGAATTCTTCACAATCAATTTCAATGGTTAAAAAGTAGTTAACTTAGTTCCGTTGTGGTCATACCAACACAAGTCACTCCGAATGTTCAGGCCGCCCAAAAGAGGACGTCGGACCATCGGAGAATGAAAGTGTGTCGGGTGACTGAGGCTATTCGCATCTCAACTGAGTGGGTATTTGGATGTAAAAATGCTATTCGCGCGTTGGGTGCCACCACGCCAGTGAACACTCGAATATAAAAGCAACCATATAACCACTTCAAAGAAGTGTTGGCGATGTTCAGCAGCAAACCGAATGAGTTTTTGCACCGTTACCGTTGGCGAAGCATGGATCCACCACAATACACCAGAGACCAAGGAACATTCAAGAAATGCTCCAAATAACGCCAAAGGGCGTCTGTCGGCCAATAAGATCATGCTCACAGTTTTTTTTTTTGATACACACGGTGTCATTCACATCGATTACCTTGAAAAGGGTAAAATGATCAGAGCAGAGATTTTGGACAGATTCGATATTGACACATGTGTATAGTCAAAATAGAAATAATCTATCAATTGGACTTCGAACTTTTACCCCATACCCCATATTCACCAGATCTAAAATAATAAAAACTATCATGAGACGAAATCATGTTTCAATATCCGATTCTTAAAGGGCTCACTAGTTTGTCTCTGCCAAAATCCTTATACCTAACTCTGCCAAAAGCGGGGATGAGTCACAAGAAATGTTCTATCTGCTAAACGAAAGCAAATATCTACTTACATGTGCCGTCTGATGCCTCAAAGTCATTGATGGCGAAAATACTCACCCAGTGAATGCCTGGTCTGAGCCATCTTTAGCTAAGTGGTTAAATGTATTAGTCAAAATAATTCCCGAAGGTATTGGCACCTGGAGTAAAACGGGTCGAGACTTGCGTTGCATAACTATTTTAGAAGTAGTTAGAGGGTTGGCCAATGACTTGAGTGCAGCTTGAGATACGTAAACAATTACTTGTTCACCTATTTTCTAACACGTAGCCTAAGGCCTGGGGAATTGTAAATTAGCCAACATGAAATACGGAGTCATAACTACTATTCGGTGTAGACTCCAAATCCTGGCCATGTCTCGGTTTTGAGTAAAGAAAGTGAGAAAGTAAGTAAGCCCGGGCTCGGTGCTGACATTTAACCAGCACTCAAAACCAGGAAACACAACGTTGTAGAATCTCTACAGTAAAGGCAATGGTGGTGTATTATCTTGGGGCATTGAAAAGATATACATAAACGCCAGCAGAAATTTCTACCGCGACCCACTCAGTGGCATATGAACATTGAGGCCTTTAATGCCTCCCAAAATATGTTTGTATGTATAAGTACAAGGATACAAAGTGTTGGGAAGTGAAGCAGTGCAGCCAAAGCTGTGTTAGCCGTTGTAAAGAAGGCTCCCTACAATACACGACGCCTATACTTTGAATTTTGGCAAGCTGATTTCCTACGATATTGACTGAGATTCTGCTCCACCATACTACTGATGCATAGCTCATAATGGCTCTGACCACGGATGAGTATATACAGATGAACCCCTTCGGTGACAGGCCACGCGTTTTATCAAAGAGCTACATATTTATGTTGCAAATGAAGCCAAGCCTTTCGGGAACTTATGCTTAATGTAAGCCTTCCATGCAAGTTGGTTATTCAGAACTATGCCGAGATACTTTATTACGAATTTAATCTGAATTAGGTCCTCTTTTAATCAAAATTTCTTAGGAATTTTTGTTCCGTTTTGACAGTATCTTTTTATGTAAGTAATCTTAGACATAAGACTTATAATTTTTCAAAAATTTCCTCACAAACCATTTAACTCTCTTCTCACTTACCGTATTCAATTTCTCCATGAGAACACTCATTTGATTTTTCGTACACATCTTGTACGCGTTGTTGTCGTCGTCGTCTTAGTTGTTGCTGTTGTAATTGTTGCACTTTTGATTGTTGTAGATTTTGCGCACTTGATTGTGATTGATGCCTGTTGGCCATTCACAAAATTGCACAATCAAAACTGTTGTGTGAAAATTCCGAAAAAAAGTGGACAAATGGATAAAAGCCAAGGCGCGCGGACACAAAGAAATGAACACACAAAAAAACGGATGAAAACACAGGGCAAAAGCAAAGCAAAAAAATAAGCAAAATAAAATACATAAAAGCGAATGTACGCAATTTAAATCGGTTAACGCGTAAGGAAAAAAAACAACAACTACGACAATAATATGGGCCTTGCGACGGTTTCAGCGCCACTCGACGACTGTGGTGAGCTGGTCAGTTCAGAGGTCGTGCGAAGCGAGTACGTGAAGGTTTGTGGCGGGTTATTGTGCTTTAGATTTTTTCGTGATTTATTTTTTCTTGTTTGTTTTTATTTATTTTTTGTTTTATCGTACAACAAGTTACTTTTAAATTGCCCACTTTGATGTTACTGTTGATTGTTTAATTGCTTAATTTTTGCGTAGACTTGTTACATTGATTGGCCGGCTCGCCCGTCGAATTGCTTTAGTTTTTGATTGTTTTTGTTTTTTGTATTTTTTTCAGGAATTTTCGGAGGCACGCACCGAGCAATTTACTTATGCAATACCACGCCTTCTCGGAAATAATTTCAGCTTACAAAATTCATGTGGTTTTTAATTGTTCGCAAGATTCAAATGAACTGATAAATATTTTGAGAAAAACTGATGAAAAATAAATTGATGATAAGATTGCAAGAAAAAAGAAACCCGCCATGCGGCGCCAGCTTTGCTATGAGCACAACAAAAAAGCGCAGCTACACGTCGGAGACGGTCGCCGAACTAAATAAATTTGCTTTTTTCTCCTTCCTCTTCTTCTCCTATCTTCGAGTATGTTTGTATGGTAATTTACACCGGCCAGCATTTGATATGCGATTACATTCAGCGTTGTAAATTCAGCTTGGCGCGCAGCCTACCTCTAACTCACTCGCTAGTCTGTTTGTTTATTTCATTGTTGTTGTTAGCGTCAATTCGAAAGTGAAAAAGTGCCATATGGGTTTAAAAGGAAAAATTATATATCTAAGATTAAATTAAACCTGATTACCCGTTTGGCTTATTCTTAACCGTAATCTTAATCTTAATCTTAATGTTAACCTTTGTTTTAACCTTACTCTTATTCGAATTCTTAATCTCAAACTCAATCTCAATCTTAATCCTAATCTCAATTTCAATCTTAATCTCAATATTAATCTTAACTTTCATCTTAATCTTAATCCTAATCCGAATCTTAATCTTAAACTTATCCTTATCCTTAATCTCAATCTTAGTCTTATCTTTAATCTCAATCTCAATCTTAATCTTAATCCTAATCTTAATTTAGTCTCAATCTTAATTTTAATCTTAATATTAATCTAACCTTTAGTAATAATCTTAATATCAACCTTAATCTTAATATTAATCTTAATTTTAGTCTTAATCTTAATATCAATATTATTTCTCAAATAAATAAATAATCTCAATTGTAATCTAAATCTCAACTTTTATCTTAATCTTAATCGCAACTTTATAAAAATTAGAAACATTTCTTCAAGTGCACACACGAAAAATGTTAGCTTACAACCAAAACGACTGTCTTTAAGTTCTTCTTATTCCCTCTCCGGGCCTCCAAACTCATCAAACATAACCGATAACTCGCAGTCATTTGAAACCATTGGCGTAGCCAGAATGAAATTTAAGGGGGCTCGACCCTATTAAGCTGGCATTTCAGGGTACTATTTTATATATATATAAGGAAAATTTGAATGTTAGGCTGGCTACGCCCATGTTTGAAACATTTGAATTACCAGCAAAAAATAATTTAACATTTGGTGGCACCACATGTGTTTTGTAGTGATTAGCAGTTATAGGAAACTCAAATGTTGTAGTTGTTGCTCATTTTCTAATTTTTTTTTTTTTAAGTTTTACTAGCTCTTTCATTACCAATTCCCTTACTTGCTAGCGTGTTTTTGCATTTAGGTTTTTCTTCTTCGCTGGTCGTTGTAAATTTTCTAACTAAATAATTCATCTTCGCTGGCTCTACAGGTTTCGTGTTTAATTTTTGTTTTTAAATTTTTATTAGTTAATTTCAATTTCGTTTTCGTTTTCATTCGCTTGAATGAGAATGAAAGTGATTTTGGTGTATTGGCATGTTGAGGGGGTATTTATGCTAATGATTTTGATAAATTTTTGTAACTGATTAATGTATAAGAAAATTGAAAGTTTTGAAACACTTTCGAGTCAAGCGTTTACACTGACTAGAAATTTTGGTTTTTTGTAAGTAAATTATGAAAAATTTAGCAATTTGTTTCTTCGGTTTAGTGGCATGTGTACACTAATGAGTATTACTCTTATCAATGGTATGACTGAGCAACCATCGTAACTTTGATGTAAACTTGAGATCCTACGGGTAAACGTCCCTTATGGCTGGAAGTTAGCTTGATTTCCATCAATATTCGTTCAAAACCTTACCCGTGCTCAAAGGCCAGCTTAAAGAGTTATTTCATCTTGGTATATCCATTTTATCGTTGCTCTAATTGTGCATGAGGTTAAGAAGTTAGAGATAGCTTGTCCTTCAGCCTAGATTCCAATCCTATAAAATTCACCAAAAAACTATGCAAAACCAATTTCAAGAGTATATAACTATTCTGGAGTTGAACAAGTTTCCTTAACAAAGTGCTGTCTTAACATAGCCTAGGTTAAGATTACTCCCAGTAGATCTGTAGTGCGATTCCCATTTTTCTTAACGACAATATTCGTATCGTTAGCTAACGATTCCGACAAGTTTCGTTAATTCAAATTCTCAAGCACACTTTCAGCGAATATTGTCGGTAGCTTTGACAATTGTCTAACGAAATTTGTCGATAGCCTAGCTACGAATATTTTGTCGTTGAAAAGCCTAACGATAAAATTGGTTTAAGTTTTTATTGAGAAAATTAGGCGAAATTCGTCGGTAGGCAAACTATTATAATAAAAAATAACTAATAAATAAACATTTATCACATATAGATGTGCTTATTATTATTACACTGAAAGTTGAAAACTTAGGCAAAGGTTTTGATAGTTGGTCTCGCTTAATTGGGGCACTCTAAATTCAATGGCTTCCCCCGTTTTGTCAGATTGGCTCCAGTGTTCGAGATAACGACACTTGAACATTTGCTCCAATTTTAACTTGTTTGTAAATAACTCAGTTTTTGTGTTGTGTTAATAAAATTTTTAACATGACTGATTTTTATAGTGAAAGTTATTTAAAAAAATAGTCACGTGATAAAGTTTGTCCGAGTTATTAAAAAAAAAACTTAAAAATTTAAACAAATTTTCAAGTATTGTTACGTCGAAAACTAGAGCCACAGCTGAATTTTTAGACGTGGAAAGCATAACGTGAAAATGATGTGTTTGTTGTAATTCATACTGTAATTGTGCGTATAATTTGTTAGTGTAATTTTTTACTTATATACGGCTAACACCACATTATTAAATTCGCCTTGCACGAGGCCCTTATTGCAAAATAAAAAGTCCAGCATCCTATGGTAATGCTCCGTAGTAGCTTTTGCACTTCTGTTTTTTTCATATTGTATTCACAAACAACAATCTCGACAACAATAATACGCGCAACAATAAAATGTTTATTTTAAAATTTAAGTGTCAAACGTCAATATTGCCATATTGTCTTTGTAATTAACGACAATCCTCGTAAGCTTCTTTATCGACATGTCTAACGAATTCTCGTTAAGTGTATTTTTGAGAATAGCCTATTCGCTACTGCAAGCTACAAACGTCGTTCATTATCAATAACGAATATCGGTCGTTAGGAAAAATGGGAATCGCACTACTGGATAAGTTATTTCTCTTCATAAGTCCCTAGCCTGGCTCCGATATGCAAAATCTTGACTTGGCTAACTTGTGCTGCCATTATCGATCGAGCTTATACTTAGTTATTTAAATTGCTTATCCTTTTTCGATCTAGAATCGATCAATACAATTAAATGCTTCCAACCCTGACTTGTAATAGGGCCATTGCTTTGTGAAAACTAACGACAGCTGTGTGGGCTTACCAGCGGTTGACTACTGTCGCAGCTTTCGTAATGACGAAGAAAGTGAGATTATCGAACACTTTCTTGCCACTGACTAGACCTTTAGTACTTTTTATACTGTTTATCGCTCCCAAACTCGACGGAAATGTGCGAATTACAAATCTTCCTTTGACAAATTAACTGTTAATATTTTTCGGTAAATATTGACAATAAACCTTTAGTAATTAGACGGTATTACTACAGGCATCTTGCAGTCAGAATGTGCCCCTAAGCGAGCCAGGATGAAAGCAGCCACCGTAATCTTACCTCACAACTTATTTCTGAACATTGTCTAATAGGTCGGCTTGCCTACAGAATAGGAGTACACGGCTTTTGCCGAAAATGTAGTGAAAAATATGAAAAGAAGGCTATTCACAACTAATCACACACTACCAAGGCAATTTAAGGAATTCTTAATTAGATAAGCTGAATTGTGTTTTGTTAATATTCGGTCAATATTTCAACGGATTTTTCGAAGACCCCACTAATTTGATTACGACTTGGCTTATTTCCTATATTCATTATTGCGAAAGAAAAAAATATAAAAAAGAAAACAAATATGTATGTACATACATATACGAGCGCCGACGTACACAATTAAAGGCTGCGTTTCTTTATACATTCCGGATAATCCCATTTCACAGCCGGAATAAACAGAATGCGTTTGAAATATACGTCAACATATCATCAGGAACGTTCTAAAGAATAAATAAATAAAAAAGTGTATTCCAAACGTTCAGAATGAATAAAGAAATGCAGCCAAAATATATGCCACCCAAGGCATATCAAACAGGTAGTAGCATTAGAGCAAAGCAACATTTACGTGTATTTTGTTGTTGCTGTTGGTATCTAAAAAGTCAAAAACTGTTCTGATTTTTGTCTTGTAAATCAAAGCGTGCCATGTGAAAAAAAAAAAATAAAATAAAAAATTGTTGCAACTTGCTTTCTTAGTAAATATGTTTGCTTCTCGAAGCATTGATCCATCCTTTGCAAGGCCCAGTAATCAGTGTTTGTGCCGCTGAGTTGGGTGAACGTTCCAAAAGCTGCTATTAAATCGCTTGTATTGTATGAAAAAAGGTTTCTCATGCAATTCGACTTTGAAGATTTAGAATTATTGTGAGAAGAAATTAAAAATATTTGACATTTTGGAGATCAAATAACTGGAAAAAAAATCAAATCAGCTCTATTGAAATTTATAAATTATCAGCAGGTTTGTGTCCCTCGTTTTGATTTAATGGTTTTATAAATTTTTTTTGAAACAAAATATTCACTAAAAATTTTAAAGAAAATTTACAAAAGTTATAAAAAATTCTTTGATATAAAGATATGTTTATTTAGTCATTCATAAATGTCAACTTAAGACTTTAACCATTTACTTTTATGGACCGCCTAAGATCGAAATTTAGAAAATTTTTTAAATTTGTTTCTAATAATTTATAACTCTAAAAATTATATTTTTTTGTGTTGCTAAAAAAGATCCATTCTTTCATCTGACAACTTTTAGAAAAAACGCCGCCTTAACTTATATGAGACACCCTCAGATGTGACTGAATAAAATGTGAATATCAAGTAATTATTTTAATATAGAAACATCGAACCATGCATTCACGGCGATTTTGCTTAACTATTGGGTAGGAGATAGTTGGAAATAAAAGACGACAGAAAGGGATGCTTTTTCCACATGAAAGTTAAATTTTCTTAATATTTTAAGATAAGTAATGGATATTATTTTAGGCTAAAAGAAAACCTCAAAACTTTTATTAAACTATCCATAAAAATTACAAATTTTTTCGAGCTTTTAAAATATTTTTCAGACATTATTTCTTTATTTTATTTATTTAACATTAAATTTATGATTAAAACC